CACATACACATTACACTCGAATGCTGATTTTTTTTTGTTCAAAGTGTTTGTCGTTTTTTCACACCAGAAGTTGTTTTATTTTATTATTGTTTCCGACATATCACAGGGGTTTCTACACTACTAATAATATATTATTTTTTGTCCTTAATATTGATCAATAATATTATAATTTGTGTGTATAAGTACACATATTATATACTGCTTATACTTAATTCCTTTTTTTTTTTTATTTGTTAAGATGTGTATATCATATACAAATACCTCCTATTATATTAGTATGTATATAATATTATCGTGTTTGTATATTGATATTATTTGGAATCCATTCGAACAATATAATATTATACCTTCCTATGTATATTATTACATTATGTAGGAATATGTGTATTTCTACAATATTATTACTATACCTTTTATTTTTGTTTTGTTTTTGCAATAGAATGTTTTGTTATTGTAGACTCGTGTTTCGTAATTTTCCGTATCGTACATACATGTATAAATATTATTGAAACAAAAGAACATTTCCTACATACCTATTATTATAATATCAGTTATCAGTATAAGTATTTTGTTAAACACGTCACACATATACAAATATTATACATACAGGATGTCTCATCGCGTTTGTGCACGTACAAACCCGCCCCATTTACTCGACCAAATATTATAATAAAATACATTTTTTCTCCTACCGCTACCCACCTCTGCCTAAAGTTTAAAACCAACACAAAACGATATTAAACGGTGGTTGGAAACTCGAACGGTAATTAATAATTAAATTTTTATAACATTTGCATGAACTCTGTCCTTATATATATATATATATATACATATATATTTTATTCATATCTTATATACTTAAGGAACATTTAAACGATGTTACATGAAACAAATATTGTAATTTGTTTTATACTATAAGTGGTGGGCAGTCTTATAAAGAATACTTTTATTTTGTATTCGGAATACATAATCGAATATTTGAAAAAATTAACGAGGGTCAATGATATTTCATTCAAAGAGAAAAACTATTGTTTATAACTAAAAATGTACCCGATTTTTAATGAAAAAAAATTGTTACAAATATAAACTATTTTTTGAGTTAAAAAAAAATATTTTTTAATGAATAAAAAAATACAAAAAAAATTATTCAGAATACGTATTCGAATAATTTGTTCAAAAAGTATTAAAATAGTATTGAATAACAAAAAAGTTTTTGAATACTTTACGAGGCAGGTGGTAGGTAACACAAAGTCATAATAACAAAATATAATACCTACCATTAATTTAGTCTGCTGTAGTTATTTTTAAAAATATTAATTGACGAAAACAAATATTGTCCTGGCCCAAACAAGCCGAGCCACTTGTGTGCGTATTTTGGTGGGTATGTGTTACGTCCTTATTTTCAGTGGTATGTATGTTGACAAAACTCGAAATGAAAAATGCTTTTATGTGTTTAGTATACACCTTTTTTTAGCAGCCAATTCCCTTTTTAATATCGCAAATATGATAACGTATAGCATGTCGTTGTAACTTGCAGTTGATTTCTGACAAACTAACTGATCATATTATTATAATATTGACTCCAAACAATAATAACAAACTTTACCCTTTTAGGTAGGTTTACAAAGTAGAAGGACGTTTAAAAATAAATATATCAGGACATGACAGACCTTTAATATATAATTAATTATGTAAATACACACATACTGGCTACAGACCACAGTATTATTATTATTGTTATTATTTTATACTTTTGTGCGAGTTTACTTAATCGATCATCAAGCGGCATTGGTGGTAAAAAAAATATCTTAATATACATAATTATCTTAAATTCTACGTGTCGTTTTCGCGGTCTTGTTGTTATAAAAATAGTATTATGATGACTGTTTAGGTATAATAATGATGATAATAATAATGGTAATATTACATGCGGTTTGAAACATACAACACAAAGACGATAAAGTCATATAATATAATACGGTATTTGATTTGTTTAATACCAGTCTTCGTCGATGGTCTATACGCACGTGGTTAGATGAAATATTATCAGACTTTTTTTTATGTATTTTTCATTCGTTAATTTATAGTATAAGTACAATTGTATTTGTTTTTGAGCCAGTCTCCGCCCCATGATAATACTAAGATAAAATTAAAACCACGACGATGCGATGTATCCATTTAATTGATCGCGTGTATAATGCACATAATATTATTACAATAATATACTATAATTATGTCATACTTGCGAAATCGCCAATCACTTTTCAATCAACTATTAATCATATTTTATTAAATCACGTTATACAACGTACTAAATGTCACTTGTCAGTACAATATTAGATTACAATAAAAAATTGTAAATAATAATAATAATAATAATAATAATGTGAAGAATAAGGATAATACTGCTACAACGCTTGGTACGTCTAAGTTCGATTGGGTGTACATTATTATAATAATGTGTACTTGCCGATATTTGGTTCCATCACAAACGATAACATATTATATGGTGTAGACGATCCATACAGGTACGCATTAAAATTTGAATTCGTGACGTTGGCATCAATTTGTAATTATTATAATGTCGTAATCGCGTAGAAAGCGGTATAGTGGTGTCAGACGCACAGTTCACGAATAAAACAAACGAAATGTGAGCTATTGTTTTTGCCACAATACCCTTCGCTCGATATTTTTACTTTTAGTCGATAACTTACAGCGGCCACAGTGTCGTATCAAAGAGAAGAGTAATTTTTTCACGTGATGAATTCACTATTCATTTTTTTTACATTATGCAACGGTCGATGAAGATATTATAACGACGTGTATGGAAAATGTTTTAGTACCTAAGTTACAGAAAAATAGAAAAACTCAACTAACAACTAACTTTTTTTTTTGATCACGCTATAATATAATATAATTTTTTTGCTTGGCTTATCAGTGGCGGTTTGCTGTTTTTCACCTATTTTCTTTCCTTATTTCTTAAATATTTATATTTCATACAAACATCTTTCCATCAGCAACACGATGATGAGTGCTTGTGTAGTTGTGTGTGTGTGACATTCAGACGCGTACCATGATATATTATTTAGTATGTTGTATGTAGGTACCTCTTATAATATGATTGTCACTTGCTAGAATGTGCTCCGTAAATGTTATATACAATGATATTATGTAACCGAACAGTAATAATAATAATAATACACACATACACCTATACATATACATATATATATATAATTATATACTAATATAATTTAATTTGTTTTTTTATTCATTTTTCCCAGTACCATATACGATAAGTTTTTGTTTAGAGCAGCAGATTTTTCAAGGTCCACTTTAGTATAATATATAACATTAAGTATATTATATAGGTTAATTAGTTATAATAATAATATGAGTATTCAAATTTTGTTCAAACACACACACATGCACACTCACACACGCGCACAGACATACTCACACACAAACACACACACAAGACGGCTGTCGTAACAATACCATTGTCGACATAACCGTATAAAATATATTTACTTACATAATAATATAAATAAAAATAATAAATTTACTCGACGTTTGGTCGCGGTTTGACGTGCTTATTACGGCACTCATAATTTTCAAATTCACAAAATTGTACAGCAACATTGTGTGCAGGTGGTTAAATGGAACGCCCTGTACAATAATGTATTATATTTCAGTACGTGGTTTGATTGAAAAATCATACTTTATAATACATGCAACTGCACAGGTAAACTATTATAATATTACATGCGTACAATATTGATGAACGTTGAAATAAACCGTTTGCGAACATTTCATAATATCCGTAATATACAATATTTTAGCCAAAGTCGTGACGTATTACGAAGAATAATATTCAGAACACAAATTTTGAAATTAATCAACCGATCGGTTTTTCGAAAAAAAAGAAAATTGTAAGCTTTCAATCTTACTTTGTTACTTTGGTGGTTTTTCAAAATTAAAACTTTCTAAACAAACGTATATCCTTGTCTGTGGTATGTGTTTTAAAAATTCAAGAATAATAATTGAAAACTCCTTCGCTAAAATCGATATCGGGTGGATTACTGACTGGTTGAATTCCAAATCCACAATGAATATTTTCCATCTGGTCTAATCGTCGATCTGTAGCACTAAATTAAATATATTTATACTGCGAGTGCATTCGATGTTCATGCCGATGTGACCGTGATTTTTTCCTAAATGAAATTGTATCCCCCACCTTCGGTAAAATACCACTAGTGAAAATTTACCTCTCGGTCACTAGTAACATTTTACCGCGGCTTAAAAGCATACCGATGTAATTATCAGCTAGTGATACCTACCGAAATTTGACCAGCCAGTCAGTGTTTGCTTTAATTTCATTTTACCAGGGGGCGACTACATCACCAAAAATCACACCGGTGCTGAACGATTTTTCAATCGTACACGTCGGAAATATTTTATATTATATATATTACACTGCTGCAGTATATGGATCGTATGTATAATATATCATTATATTGTACAGTAGGTATGCCACGTGGTTTGATCGGAAAATCGGCCTAAATATTGTAATTTATATTGATACTATACGTAACCGCTGCGGGGCGATCGTTATAATTAACATGGTGCTTGAACTGTGCGCAAAAAAAAAAAAAAAAACAATTAATAAATAAATAAAATATAGTGTTCGGCGTTTCGCCCGGTCTCTTCGCACAACTCACAACGATACCCGGTAGTTCATCGTTGTAATATAGCACGTGCGGCTTTCCGATTGAATCGCGTGTTTTAATAACACGATTTGTTCCTTTTATAAAACATGACGTGGGTATAAAAAATATATTATTATTACGATGTCGTATTGTATAGTGTAGTAGTTACAATATTATGTGTCATTATCTGAGATATTATTTTCATAATAATATCATCGTTGCCGTTTTTATTATTATTATTATTATTATTATACTACTTATTATTATATTATTACCATCATCGTATAGTATAATGTAAACACTAAACTTATACCTATACTAACTAAATTGTTGTATTATGTTTATCAAATGACCGTGCGTGTGTATTTTTCAAGTGATGAGCAATTACCACCATCAGGCAGCCGCGGTCGCCGCACAAGGTTTCGGGCCACCAGCGTCGCCGCACACCGGCGGCCCCGGCAACCCGCGGGCCGCCGCGTTCCCGCCGGCCACGTCGCCCGGCCCCGGCGCCCCGTCCACCATGGACATGTACAGCTCGAACCCGGCCGATTACGTGCAAGCAGCGTCACCGCAACCGTCCGCGTTCCCCGCGATCGCCGTCTCACGTGCGCCCATTAATTACAATCCTGTAGGTATATAGTCCGATTTGCGTAAGGGTTTGTAACGATATACAATTTATTTTTATTTTTTATGATTTTTGTTTTTTATTTTTTATTTTTGTTTTTTACATTTCTCTCTTATACTTCATAATAATATCATACCAACACACGACTTGTATAATATCATACTGTATATGACACCGTACTCGACGTGTGGACGTGTACAGAGACGGTCTGCGCTTTCCTCGCCCCGCCCCCGTCCGCCAATGAATTAGAATCAGCTGTACGTTTAACGCCGGGCGTCCGGCGATTCGTCTTGGCATTCGGAAATCCTTACGATTTGGAAAGAAAATCAATTGTTATCGATTGCCGAGTGCCGAGAGGAACCGGACGGTTGATATTATTTATCGACGAGACAGAATAAAGAGTCGCGACGCTAAATTATTTCGTTGCATAAATCAGTACGTCCCGTATAGTTCTCCCGAGCTGCACTTATTCGCTTGAATTTCCTATATAAGTACGCTTTATTAATATAATATTATCACTTTTTTTCGATCATGACACGATATCTGTCTCTGTCTCTGTATCTCTCTGTCTGTCTGTCTGTCTGTCTGTCTGTCTGTCTGTCTGTCTGTCTGTCTGTCTGTCTCTCTCTGTCTCTCTCTCTCTCTCTCTATCTAAGCGCAGTCCGTCTTTTTATAAGTCTATTATGTTACTACTGTTATTTTTAAAACACGATATCTTATCGTCTTATATCGTGTATACCGAAACTTGAATGACAAACACACACACACACACACAACCACACACATTCGCACACAAAAAGCCTATATGTATAATATTGTGACCTACACTGTGTAAATGCTGCCGTGTGACCGCCGACGGGGTTAGGTATCTCATAAAAAAAGCCCGCAAATGGCCTGCTGAAATAATTGTTGTTGTTGTTGTTGTTGTTATCATTGTTATTATTATTATATGTGTGTGTGTACGCTCTCTATATATATATTACAGTCACCCCGCACGATTCGCACTCTCCCCAGGCACATTTCCCGCACGCCTTATACTATTGTATTATAATATTGTGTGTGATTATTTTGTGTTTTTAATGTATTAAAATATGTAATAGGTAATATATATTATAATATTATATTGTTTAATCGTCGCGTGTTTATCGTTTACACTATATGTATGAAGTGGTTCGACGGGTTTTTTTTAGTTTTATCGTTAGGTTACATAGGTGTATAAGGTTAAAACTTAACACAACACGCACCGAGGGAAAACTGCGGTGAACGCCATGTGAACTTGTTTACCCCGACAGATGACACTTTTTTACACATTTGTTTTTATTGGGTTTTACGGTTTTTACGGTTTTTTTTTTTTTTGCTTTGCTTGTCTTGTCCGAATCGCATTAAATACACGATATTGCATTATTAGTATCGTTTAGACGGAGTGTTGAGTTTTAATAATATTGTGAAATTGTATTAACATTCGAGCGCAACATCACTTGTCGACAATAATAGTATAGGTATCCTAAACATACTGTTAAAACGTACATTAGCAGTATGTTTAGGACGAAGGTATAATATTGTATACAACTCCCCTAGTTAGTAAAATAAAATAATCATCTATGCACACGATTTTTTTTTTATCTTGTAAGCGAAATAAAAACTGTTAACCGTCGGACATAATAATATCATCTGCTGCTGCTCGATGCTGCAAGTGTATAATATTAAGTATACCGACCGGTTTGATGGTCTACCGGTTTCGGTAGTATATGTAACGGTCGGATCGGGTCAACCTAACTCCCCGAGCTGGAAATCGTCTTCTTTCACTAGTGTCAAAATTTGAAACATCACGCACAATAATTCTTATATAATATCACCTCCTCGAAAACCCAGCCCATCCAAATCCCTCCAAACGCTGCAGCAATACGTGCTTTCCCCTACCTCACATATAGCACACAAATACCTATGTAATAAGCGACCAACTAAGGTTTCTACCACTTTAACCCCCTCACCCCGTGTCAGGTCCATTGGGGAAGCTTACGTTGATCATGTGTATGCGCTCGTATTATATTTACTCGCGTCGGATTCCTCGCTAGCGATACATTATTCAACTTCCATCATCGCCGCCCTCGGTAGACGCGATAATTAATCACTTCACCAGGGGGTAGAGTGGTATGCCTGGTCTCCTCAGATCCTCCTAGTCCACATCCCTCCCCCGGGGATTCTGAAATATTATAAATTAAAACACTGCTGGTAACGTACGTCGTCATCGTCGTCATCGTTGTGGCGTCTGCTCACCTGCAAACTTTCCGACGTATTTCGAATCGCGTCTCCTCCACAAACTATTATAACTATTCACTTGTATTATATACACACACACAATACACCTGTCTACCGTCCCCGTTCGAGTTAATGTACCTCCCTAAATAAACGCACACACACATACACACACACACACGCATACACACACTTTTTCTATGTATAAAAATCTGAAACGAGATATATTACAGACTATCCACGGAATGTAGGCTTGAAAAACATCCAACTGATACCATATAATAAAATTACAATAATAAGTTGTAAGGCAGATGATTGTCACTTTCCCATCCTAGACTTTTGTGGTAGCTCGTACACGTATAATAACAATAATAATAATAGTAATAATAATAATAATAATAATAATAATAATAATAATCATATACATTTGGTTCAGCAATGACTTTTATTTTTTCGATTCTTGTTACATTTTTACAGTTGACAATAAATAGTCTTCGCGTTTTAAAAATGTACTACTTCGATTGAATGGTAAAAAAAATATTAGCATTTTCATTTTTTTATATATCTTGCAAGGATCGTATATTATCCCTTTTCAACCGCTATTATACACTTTAATAATAATATGTGTGCACACTATCGTTGTGACACGTGCAGCCCTCCCATTTATAGAGCATCAATTCTGGGACTCAGCCCGGACGTTCTGAGCTCTGTTCTCGAAAACTTTACTTTTTTAAAGAAAAAAAAAATACGAGACATACTACGACTTATTATTATTGTCGTGTAGACTGTATAGAATCGCTGATGTTGCAAAAAATATTATATCCGTCTGCAGCGTTGTACTGCTGGTCCGCATTGATAACATTAATAATGAAAAAAAGTAGGCACTAGTTAAAACCATCTTTCCCTTTAAGTATATATAGTATTTAATTACGGGCTTTCGGCGTAGGTAGCTTTGTTTTAGTACAAAGCAAGTTAAAATATATTATACTTAACATTTACGCGTTTTAAAACAGAAAATAGACTTGTGAAACTCGTGGCCATACACTATTTGTAATTTATTCCTTACTGTTTTATGATATAATACAATATTATGCGTTTTTAGCGACGTTTATAATATAATGTTTTATTTACTTAATTTTATAAACGTAAATTTATTATTCATTAAATGTTTAATTGTGTAGTTGTATTGTTATTATAATATACATTATGATATTATATAGGTTTTTTGTTTATTATAACTAGGTTTACATTGTTAGAAACTATAATTGAAAGAAAATATAAGGCCGTATTTTCGTATTGTTATATTTAATGAAAATATTGACCAATGAAATCGAGTGCTCTGTCGTGACAGGGAATGCCGGTCTAGAGAAAACCATTACATTTTCCGATTGTTCCGTTACTGCCGTTCGTTCTTTTCAGGTTGCCGTATCAGCTTTAATAGGAAAAGTACGATGTGGTGGATGGTTAAGATTTTTTTATAACTTTAAATCTTTTATTTCAATCAAAATACGTTATCGTTTATAGACCACGTCTTGATGTACAGAAATTTGTGTCATGTTTTTTAGATTTATTATTTTCTATAAGTACATCGATATTATTCTCAATACGAGTACGTCAAACCGTATACATAAGGTACCTTCCAAGTGACTCTTTTATTGTTATTAAATACATATACGAATTGAATAATAACATATTATTACGAAAGACAACAGTCCTTTGGTTCTCATTTATAATGTACGAATACATCTAATTTAATAACTTTTTTGCCATTAATAAAGAAAAAAAAAAAAATAATATACTATTATGCTCACCTCATCGCAAACAAAACGTTTAGCATGGCAACAGTTACCACCCTCCCCTCTACATATCGTCACATTGAATATTATTAAGTCAACGTTTTCGTTTATTTTTAAACGCGTGTGTGTGTCGTTTCCTTATAAAAGAATGTCAAGTCGATGATTACCATTCAAATTAAATCTCAATTTTAATATGTATAGTATTATAGAACCCTAACTGACTCATATTCAGAACACTGATAGCTTTGCTGATATAAATATTATTTTTTCGTAATAAGGCGACATTCCCCCCACCACCGACTAAAACACGTACATAATATACAACAATAACATTCGTTTGTATAATGAAGGAATTAACTAATTCATTTTTATTACGATTCGTGCAACGTCGAAATGGCCTTTCTAATATTTTAATGACAAATTGACAATGGATTAATTTCCTATACTAAAATTCGAATAGTGCATTCTACCTTCCTACACACTTGTGTAACGAAATTGCCTATACAACGCGCCGACCAACAGATTTGAATTAAAGTACTATTATTATTATTATTATTATTATTACAAAAATATCGAGATTAACAATTGATCTATTATACTATTGTTATCCAAACAAAAAACCACTGAATATTATAGCTGTGTGTTTCATACCATGGACCGCTGGTGAATTTTCTGTCGTTTTATTCGAATACTATCATTTTTTGTGTCTAGTAAAACTATTTATTTCAAACAATATACGTTATATTATACCGAGAATGAAAATAAATACAAAGTTTTTACAGAAAAATCCACGAAAAGATTGAAATAATATTTTAATGTTTCATAGTTAGATTTTTCGATAATATGCTTGAAAATGTATCAATTGATAAATTTTTACTCTACGTTGAAGGTGAGTTAATGCGCGCCTTATTTGACTAGTCATCCTCGAAGCCGACACCGATCAAGCTAGCATTCACTGCAAGAAGTATTATTACACAGTATAATATAACATCTCATGATTTATAATATTTTATAAAGTTTCGCAAACCCATCAATATAACATATACCTATTATTTTCGAGAGAAATGTTCGTTTTTTCAATATTCGTATCACATTACAAAATCGTTATAAATTACTTATATTATTATTTAACGCATGACTGGCAGTTACGAATGTATATTGTATATATTATATACATATTACATTAAACCTAAACGACAAAATTCTCTCGTATAGGAAAATTTCCTATGTCGAATCGAATCGCAATCAAACGTTTTATTTTCTCTACAATTACTTACGATTTTTTTGAACGCTGCCTATAAAAACCTCATCTTCGAGGTGATAGTCGTATAGTCGTGGGTATCATAATTGTCATCGTCGTCCGACACTGTGTCGTTCAATAATTGAAACCCGATACTAAGTAATGTGAAATATAATTTTCATTAATTATTAAAACAAATGTGTAAATGGATTTCCTGCACTGCCTACAGAGACGATAGTTTAAAATCGACATGAAAAAAATATTATTAAATTATCATCATTGAAACCTTTCATTTAGCCTCAGATTCTTATTACACGAGAATTTTTGTCGTCGTCGTCTTATTTTTTTCCCCTACAACAGAATCTGCAGAATAATATAAAAAATTTGAAAACTATTGATTGCTGTGGAATCATATTATATGAATATATACTTATAATTGTCGAAGTTTAATTACACGGATTTATTGCTGACAATGAACTGTATGTATAGATCGCTGTACCTATATCGTAGGTATTGTTTCTTTTTAGTGTAGTTTTAATGGATCGTGTTACTGTCCGTGTACGCTATTATCATAAACTTACTGAATTCGACTGCAATTATTAGATTTAGTATTAGTTATAATAGTGTAATGTTTTTAATTAATCTTTATTGCATCTAATATAATATATTATTATTGTAGTAAGTTTGGTGAACGAATTGCAATTCATAACTATAAAAACTTTACCTATATTATACTAATTGGAAAACTAGTTTTTTCATATCTATATATCGGAGATTAATTTAATGTTTGTTAGGTATAGAACATTGAAAGCTATTGTATCATGTCCGAATACTGTTTATATTTATTTCATCAGTCTGATCGGTCAAACTTTTGGATAACTTTTAATATGTGTATACGCTATTATTCTGTTTTGTACATACATAGGCACGCTTGATTGAAAACTGACACCATATTTTGCTATTTAACTAACCGACTTGAGAGTTTTAAGTTTGAATAGCACAAAATTGTCTAACTACTAACTGTAAATGTTTGTAATCACACGTTCTCTACGAACATGAGACTGATTTATCCCGACCTCTTGTTCGAACGAAGGCTGCCTTCAGTCGGACTAATTGTTATGCGAACCTTTTCATGACGATGTATGTCGAGGATATTACAATATTACTTTCATTGCGTGATCTATTTCACATGTTTGAAATGTCCATACTTTATTGAAAACATAATAGTATAGTATTGAAAAGTCAAAATAGACCTCAAAAATATAATTTAACGTCACGTCATCAGTGGTCGGTCATCTTTATAACATAATCGGCTTATTTATCAACAGCTCACACACATACACACAATCACACACAACACAACGCCCCTTTTGTAAAAGACATTTTTTTTTAATTTTAATTTTATTCAATTTGTACTAACCAGTTTTGTATTTTTTTTTCAGGGGCCTTTGATTCCGGCCGCTTTTACCAATGGGTACCACTGAACAACGCAAGAGTCAATAAATTTCTTCCATCGTAAGGTCATTGTTGTTCATTCATAAAAATCTCATCGTGCTATCATTGTTTTTATTTTTTTTTATTCAATAATAATTCATAATAATTGAGATGTATTGTTTATCGTTCTGACATTTTTTTTTTACTATTTTATTACAGGTTGACCGATATTAGTCGCCCCTATGCGTGTGATTGACTCAATAACTCACAACTATCACCAGAGATATATATATAAACGTCTCACTCACTCTCACTTACACCAAAGGTTTTCTTTCTCAATAATGCTATTAATAATAATCGTTTCTATATTATATAATAATTATAATGATTAAAAATAAAAAAAAACATGTTTTATTATATTAATAATGTTTATATTATGATAACAAATAAAAAAAAAATTAATATATAAGATAATTACATTAAAGAAAAAAAATTATTATTATATTCGTTTTTTTTTTTAGGGTTTTTATTATTATATAAATGAAATTACCCAAAATATGTAAATTTAATAATATTAACTTAATACTTATATTATATAATAATAATAACTATACCTAAACTAATTATAATCTCTGAACGATAAATCAAACCAGGAAATCGGAAAAAAAAATTGTCGCGTGTTGCTCATTATAATTATAAGGGCGCAGCCGTATAATAATATTGTAGAATAGAAAAAAACAAATCATTAATCAAGACCATCTAATTAAGATCTCATAATGAATCACACACACACAATATGTGGGTAGGTAGTAGTAACAACGATTAGCAATGTTGTAATATCAACTGTCGTCGAACCGACGAGCTTCCCGCGAAACCATAGTAAAATGTCATCACAACAATAATGTGAATAATATTATTGTCTTTTGGTATGAAATACGTTAGGTATATAACATAATAATAATAATATAATCACATTCCCGCGATCGGGGGATTCGACAACTTAAATCAGATGCCATTCGACTACTTAAACAAGACAAAATCGACTTGCGATGACATTCGCCGTTTTGTTGTTATTATTACCTGACCACATTTTTATTACCGCAAAAACTGGTTCACAGCTACATTTATTATATCTGGAGTAGATCTTTGATTTTCTCATCTTATGCTATTCAATTTAAAAAAAAAATTCCGTTTGAAAATACGCGTCGCAAAGTAGAAAACAAATTTTGAAAATTTTGATAAATTCATCTATCCAGCACACTGCTGAACGATATGAATATTGTTTATAAGTTTAATTTTTAGATTGATCATATTAATAGTATAATAATTATTATTAACGTATTTATTATTTATTTACTATGATAATATATATTGGAAAATAATAATTACTTATCGAACCGACGGGTAAATGTTTTATTATTATAATGGTTAAAATTATAATAATAACACAATGACGGTCACTCGTCATGAGTATAATTTTTTTGGGTTTTTTAACTATAATATAATGGGCCACAATAATATTTTTAATTCACCTCTCCCTCAAATAAACTACCACCACCGCCTCCACCACTAATACCTCCACCTTCACTACCACCGAATCGATGTGTGAATTATTTACGATTTTAATTTTTATTTCGTTTTTGCTATTTCATATTTATTTATTTACGGTGATAATCAAATTTTTGTTTTATTAATATAATAATCATTATTTTTTGTTTTCTTTTGTTTTGTTTTGTTTTTTTTTTTTTAACGAACAATTATTATGATAAACCAATAGACTATATATTATAATTATTATTATCATTATTATTATTATTATTATTATTATTATAATATGTTTGTTACGTATTTTTAAAATTATTCTTTGTCATTGATTTTTTTTTTCGTTTTTTCGTTTTCTTTTTTTTAATTTGTTATCAAAATATTGAATTAAATATAATTGTTGTTAAAATATTATTGTTATTACGGTTTTAAACGTATCTTTAAATTAATAATAATATAATTCGTCAATAGTTTAATTTAACATTATATATACATATTATAATTTTTCTTCTCTTCTTTTGACTTATCTTAAATATGATTAATTGTAATTTGTTTTTTTTTTTTGGATATCCCCATTTCCCCATTCCCCTCGCTGCCCCGTTCGAATAAATATAAAATATATTGTATTATACTATTATACAACACAATGTATTTATAATATATATGAATAATTAAAATAATAATAGCTATATATAATAACATAAACGTTCTGTTTCTTTAAGCATAACACCAATAACTAAGTCCATATTATAATAAAATGTACAGTCATTCATACCATTTTGTTATGTGTATGTATACATATATATATAATTTTTTGGTTGGTATCGAGCTTGTTTAAATGGTGGAATGTTAGTGAGAACATATTTTTACCTATAATATCATATAAAATACAATATTTAAGGCGCGGACAAAAAAAAATGATAACGAGAAATCGAATTTGTGTCGTTCGTTATTGTGTTTGCCACCGCCGCCGTTCAGTGTGTACAGCGTATGATGAGGTTGAATATGTGAACGATGGTCGGAAGGGTGAAGAAATATGAACCGAAAAAATTTTTTGAAAAAATATTATGGCCAGCAAACACTTCGATACCTAAGTACCTAAGTATGTTATTATAGTTATAAATTATAATATACGGCATGTACACTCGTTTTCGATTTAGGGCCATGCACACTTTCCATTTTTTCCACTGTGGCTCCGCAAATACGGCGTAGGTAATATTTGATCAAAATGTGCAGTGCACATATCTTGCGGCACTGCAGCAGCAATAAAACAGACGTGGGCACCGGGTCCCTAAGACCGTAATCGGACTTCGGTTTTCGTCCAATCAGTGGCGGACCCGAAAGGTGTGGCATTATCGTCTTATATGAAAATTAAAAAAAAAAAAACATTGGAACTCGATCTTGCAGCTGAAGTCATGCCATGAAAATCACATTCGATAAGCCTATCCCACTAAGGCCAATAACAAGTTTACACTTGATCCCCCCTACCAGTACTACTTGCCAACGCGTACTCACACGAGCGCCGTGATTTTTGATGAAATTTGTTGCCTGTCAAAAAATATTATTAAATCACCGTTCACCCACCTCCGAGCATTTCCGTGGTCCTCTCCCACCTGCCATTAAATCATGTAACGTCTTGTTCGGATAGTGTACCGACAAAAACAACAATACAAATAACAACAAGAAAAATAAGAAAATCAATAGCAATTGACCATAGATCATATTATGAGGTATTAAATTATTATTTATCAATTATTATCGTAAATAGATGGCAGGCGGGAGAAGATTAAGGCCAACCCCTTAATGCCAAAGACTAAGACACCTCATCGGGTGCTTTTGGTATCCATCACTCGTGATCGATCGGATTTTTTATATTTTGACATCATCTTTCCACGGATATTAATTGAGAAAGTGGTCGAAATAGGTATGCGGGGATGCTTTTCTTCCACTTGATTTCGTTCACATATTTCATCCCCCTACAAAATTCACACTGAAAAATCTGTCTGCCCTTACAATGAATATAATGTGTCTTATATTGTATGATCAGGTTTAAATATTTTTTATGAGTAGTTAAAATTATTGAAAATCGAGACTTGAAGTTACGTCGTCTTTGATGTTTGATTACTCTATTTGAAACACACGTCATACACGTAGGTGGCTTATTCTAATCCATCACAACAACTGATAAAACAGTGACTATTCAATACGCTTTTGTTCGGATACTTTTTCAGAAAACTTTTTTTTTTTTTAATTCGTCATTAATTACACTCGTATTATCATTACATTCGTATCGGTGGTAAGTGGTAACCCTGGTAATATTCCGCGAGGTCATTATTTGCACGTTAGTCGATTCACCTATCCAATTCCTGGAAACGATGATGTTTGTTTTTATTCATTTTCAAGCAATCGCTTGAAATCTTAATGTTGTTCAATATAATATGATAATCAAGTATAACAGACAATACTCGTCTAATTTCCTATTTGTAAAAAAAAATGTTATCCTCAGAGTATCATCCGAGGACTATACTATTAATTTAAATATGACTATTTAAAAATAAAAATATTACATTTATTAATACAATTTTAAGCTCTTTTTCATCAACTGATATTATATATATACTAGGTATATAATAATTCGTAGTAATTTATATAATTTGTTTGATTATATGTCATTTTTTGTATAAGTAAAGATTTACCTATTATTTGTACAAGATAATTTCAACCGTTTCATTGTTTCGTCAATTTCTCATAACCAAAATAATAATTATTGGTATCACAATCACACAATTTACATTAAAAAGCAAACATAAGTTCCGTGGCTTAAAATAATGCGCTTGCGGCTATAATACGAAATGTGATGTGGTCGTTGGAGTTGGCCCCGGCTGCTGAGGATTACCATTGAAGAGTTTAGGTCAAATTCGTGGTAGGTACCTACGCCCTTTAGATTGTTTCCCATTTATATATTTGGTCCGATATACGTTGCTTTCTATAATATCGATATACTTACCGACGCCACTTCACCAAATCCCACCTTCAAAACATTCCTACATTCGATCCAAACATCTCCGTTTATTCTACAATAAACGGAATCGAAAAACATATATATTATATAGATATCATATTATACGAAATATGATGGATGGTTTGCAAAAACGAAATGCGTTAAAGTTAAATAAAAAAGCCATGTACTTTGTAAATAGAGAAAAAAGTGTATTACGAACAAAAACATATTAATTATAGTAATATTATTAATAAAAAAATATGTACTTATATTATTAACGATAAATTATATTTAAATAATATTGTGTACATATTTTGGCATCCAATTAATTTATATTAAATCTACAATCTACAATCGTAGATAAATTTTAAAATATTTATTTATATATAAATATGTCATGTATTTATATATAAATTATTATTATTTATTACGTATTAAATTTGTCGCTATGACTAAATAAAATAAAATATAATATAATATAATATAGCTATTTATAATAATAAGTTTAAATATTAATTTTTAAATACATATTAGATATTATAATATTATTGGGTAATTACCTATTCTAGGCACTCACACTCACGCGCGTTTGTAGAATTGTGGTTCATTATAAAAAAATATATCGCTCTTGTATTGCTCTATTATAAATTATAATATACGATTGCTTTTGAAATATTAATTTAAACACTGTTAAGTGATTTCGTTTATTATTAAAAAGGTTTTTTCTTTTTTATTTATAACATGTGATATTCATTATTAACATTACGTAAGACTAATAAAATATGTATAAAAATAAAA